TCATAGGGAAGAAAGTCCAGCATTCAATTCCTAAACAGACAAGTACAACATTATAACGATTCGTTATCACGTAACCCATATCTGGTAGAGTTAACCATTTATGTGGTGGCTGAGGGCCAAATTCCTCTATCATCAAAGATTCTCTCACTACTGCTAACTGATCAGTAAATACATTGACATACAAACTTGATCTTTCATTATGTATTATTTCCAACCCCAAGTCTCGACGAACCATTGGCCAACCATCTTCACCATATCCATGCAATGAAGCAATGACTCGAAATCCACAACTACCATCTGATACAACATTAACTACATCATCAATATATGGCCTGATGTGATTAGGAAATTAAAGGATGAACTGCTTAGATGACTGTGAAGATTGTGATAATTTCAACTTTTTCGAAGCCTGTGATGGTTGAGATATCTTTTGTGAAGACTGTGATAATTTCAATTTCTTCGAAGTTTGTGATGGTTGAGATTGCATCTGTGAAGATTGAGATGCTTGATCAACATACTCGTGATACGAAGGGTCTCTATAAACATCATATCCTACTGGTTTTTTGTCTTTCTTCTTGACTCCCCCATTAGTTTATATTTTCTCAGGTGGTGGACACATAGAAGTCATTGTAGGGAAGGCAAGTTCAAAAACCCTACTTTTTAATGCCCTTTTCCCAACAACATCTAGTGACTTAAACCTTTTCCATAACTCATCTATTGCACTACTCATATCCACCTCTGATCCATCATCTACATCTTCGTCCAACTTAACTTCCATACTTAGTTTTCTCCAATGAACATGTACAACATCTATTGGTATCGGTAAACCATCAATTTTATATCCTGTCAACTCACAAGCACAAGGTAATCCGTAGGTTGTTCTAAGAGTATAACGACATATTTCCTTGTTAGTTCCAACATAATCAACTCGTTTTAACTCTTCAGCAATGCGTCTCAATGCATCTCGAGACACTGAACCACGTAAATTATTGTAAAATGGACTTACGTGGGCGTGCTCAACTTCATAAAAAACTCTTTTGAAAAGAAGCTCTAATATTACTCAATTGTAACTTTAAGTTGTCATTCATAGCCTCCCAACATTTGACCATGTCACCAATATTGTTCCCCAACATTTGCTTTAACTTCCAATGAGCAGACTCAACCTTAAAATTAATACATATTTAAAATATTTTAAAAAAATTCAAAAAAAGAATACAATTTAGAAATACTAAAAATAAATACATACCGATTAGTCGTAGTGTTACCCAAATGTAGCACTCGATTAATCCATGTTCCAACAAATCTTTGTCTATGTGGTTTCAACCATGTGTCCTTCACATAATCAATAAATTCATTACAATTAACACACTCCTGCTCAAGTAGGTTCAACCTTTGATCATACTCAACCTCATCACTATCCCATACAACATCCTTCCATAATTCGTCAATTTTCTTTTGCATGTCACTAGCCACATATTGTTTCCGTTTTGCACCAACATTCTTGTTAATATGAAATCGACATAGCATATTGATTGACCTTGGAAACACACTTTCAATAGCTTTCATCAAAGCAAGATCTCTATTTGTCAAAATCACTTGTGGACACAACTCTTTCTTCACAAACAGTTGTTTAAGCTTATCTAGCACCCAACAAAAAGTCTCAGTTTGCTCAGACTCAATATAGACAAATGCGACAGCAAAAGTCAACTCGGTTGATGTCATGCCAACAATTTCAAACAGAGGTTGCCTATATTTGTTTGTCTTGTAAGTGATGTCCATAACTAGCACAATAGGAAAAATATTCAACAACTTAACTGAATCTGGATGAGCCCAAAAGATATCTCTAATTACTTCAGAGTCATCTCTTTTTCTACTCTAATAAACATAACTTGCTTCCTCAATAAGCTTAAACAAATGTTGTATCTCACTTCTAGGACCTCTTATATTTTTTTCTATCATACTCTTCTGTTTGTATATTTACGTGATCCGAGTGACATTATCTGGATCTTGCTCTTGCAATGAAAGCAATATATGTCTAGGTGGAACCTTTCTCTTTGTCAAATCAACAACATGTTGCTTCTGATCCGCTGTCAACCTACCGACAAATGCGTGACCTTCTAATCTATCAGGTAAATCATGGTTATGAACTCCACATTTTACATCAATCTTCCATCCAGATCCATCAGTCGCTGGAATTGGTCTCATTCTAAATGGACATCCACATTTTTTCGTCGCACTCTGGGTTCCACTATCAATATCTCTGTGTTTTCCTCCTTTATCACATCCAAATATTAATTTGTTACTTCTTCCTCTCTTGCCTGTTTTAATATATGAACGAGTGATGATAACCGTAACTTTATTTCGGATTTCGATCTCTTTAATCCATCTTATTACCTCTTCTCGTGTACCAAATATTTGAGTTGTTGAAAAAATATCAGACGTATCTACGCATATCTGATCTTTATCGCATATTTGTAAAGGAATTTTTGAAACCTCTTCTCGTGTACCAAATGTTTGAGTTGTTGAAAAAATATCAGACGTATCTACGCATATTTGATCTTTATCGCATATTTGTAAAGGAATTTCTGAAATAATTACATAAAAAAATTCAAAAAAAAAATCAAAAATAATTTTAAAAAAAAAATTGGACAATTCAAACCGGAAGACTTGTAGCAAGTGTTTCGGTAGCCAAAAAAACAAACCGGAAGACTTGTAAAAAGTCTTCCGGTTTGTTTTTTTAACTACCGGAACACTTGCTACAAGTCTTTCGGTGAACATCCACGAAAGTTACCAAATCGGAAGTCTTTCCTGAAGTCTTCCGGTTCAGTATTTTTGTGAACCGGAACTCTTTGTCCAAGTCTTTAAAAAGTCTTCCGGTTTGTTTTTTTAACTACCGGAACACTTGCTACAAGTCTTTCGGTGAACATCCACGAAAGTTACCAAATCGAAAGTCTTTCCTGAAGTCTTCCGGTTCAGTATTTTTGTGAACCGGAACTTTTTGTCCAAGTCTTCCGATTTGAGAAAAAAAGCCTACCAGAAGTCATTTTTAAAGTGTTCCGATAGATCGTGAGATGAATTTTTCGGAAGTCTAAAAATTTTAAAAAGTGAAATAAATAATAAAATATATAAAGATAAAATAGTTTTTTTTTTTAAATGTAAAGGTATGGGTATAAGTGCACGGGTATTGGATAAAATTTCCTCTAAAAAGAAAAGAAATTTATCTGGCTTCCTAAAACTAATTATTTGTTATAGTAAAATCATTTACCTCCCCAAAACAATAACCCATGTACACACTCAAAATCTCTTATTACACACCCTACCTATGTTAGATTCTCCTAAGTAGGGTTGGAAATGAGTCGAGTCGAGTCGAACTCACCTCAGTTCGGCTCGACTCGTTAATAATTGTTCGAGTTCGAGTTCGAGTTTGAATTCGACACGAACTTTTTTTTAAACTCAAACTCGACTCGTTATAAGTTCACGAATAGTTCAACTCAACTCGTTAGGTTCATCCCATTAGGTTCAGCTCATATGATTCACGGACTTAAGTATATTTGACATTTTAAATAAATATATATTTTTTAAAATAAAATAAAAGTTATCATATTGAAATTTAACTTTATCTTCAAAATCTACTAATTCAAAACCTACACAACTTTCAAGAGATGTATATTTTAGAGTCTAATTCAAAAACTACTAAATTGAAAATTAAATTTGTCTAAGATTTGGAGTAAATATTTAAATCTAATCTTAAAGATAGTATAATTCTTTGACTCATACTCAACGCATTTGGTTCATGAACCTAATTCAACGATTTAATTGTCGAATCGAATTCCGAACTATTTTCGAGTTGATTCGATTCATTGTCAGTTCTCCTCCTAAGAAAAAGTTATCTAGATCCTCTCCTAAAAAAAGTTTTATCTTTTTGAAATATATCCTAAGTCATCTAAATTGATAAAAGATATAACTTATTTGGGAGCAATTAGAAACAAATATTAGAATTAAATTGATAATTGCATTAGTCATACTCATAAATTTGAAAGAATTTTAGAATGACTAGAGATTGGTTTTACAAATTATTTGAAAGAATTTAAGTTTAACTATGGATTAGTTTGACAAGATATGTCAAATAGAGATCGATGGATTGATGTATTTCGCATATTTTCAGGTATACTTTGTAAACGAAAAGATCTATACTAAGGTTGATTTTCATGGTAGTTGGAAGTTTCAGAAATTTTAACATTCAAGTATCATTGAAAATGACGACACAGACAAAGTTAAGGAAAAACTACGACGGAGCATGGGTGGATGTTGAAAAGTTAAATTCTCAAGAGTTTAATCATTGAAAATATTAGACAGATTGATTAAGAATGACAATAACAAAAAGATAAAATAAAGATCAAATAAAGATGGATGATAAACCGGCAAAACTAAAATTACGGGGAAATTTTGAAACAAACATATAGAACAATAAACAATCAAATGGTTTAAACATTTTAAAAAAATAGTTTCAAACAAATATTAAAGCATGTAGTTAGTTTTGCTATTTATTAACAGAAAAACATACCTTAAGAGCATATTATTATTGCAAATTATCAAAAAAGACCGTAACCAACTCTTAAAGTTATATTGAAATTCATAAACAAAAAAGAATCGTAACAAAACAATGTAAAGGTAATATTCGGAATTTGCAGCAAATGTCAAACAGAAACAATGTAAAGGTAATATTCGGAATTTGCAGCAAATGTCAAACAGAAGTTGAAAGAATTGAAATAGATATACTTACTTGCTATCGTCAGTCATTAAGCAACATTTTATGATCAAAAGACTTCATACATACTCAGAATAAATATTTTACTTGTTTGGAGGAAGAAACAAAAGCAAACATTTCAAAGTAAATAGAAAAGGCTACAAAGCCATTGTCATCAAAATTCTACGTAAAACAGTAACTAAATTTGTCTCAAAAATAAAACAGGATAAATAAGAAAAAACAAAAAACATAGCTAATAACGCCCAATGCCCCAGACTCTTACAACACCATCAGTATATCCACTAAACAAAGTGCTTCCATCAGCACTCCAGTTCAAACTAGTACAGTAAATGTCCTGCAATGAAAATGCCAATAATTAAGTGAATTGGAAGGACAATATTTCCATTAGCAGAGGATACAAAATATGGCAGAAAGAAGTAGATGTAAAACATCACATGAAGATATCACTAAACATACATTAGTCATCTGCATTTTGTTAAAGATATCAATAAACAAGTTGTTATATTCAATATATCTGCATATATATTCCAGGAAAATCAACTATACAAGACAACTTCAGTTCAAAATCATAAGCAAAAAACAAAATTAAAACCATTTCCTAACAAACAATGTCACTCACAAACACTTAGCATAAAGAACAACTCTCAAAGATACCTACCAAAAAGGTATAGAATTTAAGCACAGACATCTTCAAAATTTTTGATATTGATTTTAATCATACAAGTTCTACCATGCACAATCCACAAAGCATTGTTCAATTTAATATGTTTAAATAGAACACAGACATCAATTAAGAGAGAATAAATTAACATAACAAACACTACAATTAACATCTATAAATAATCAATAACAATGGACATTGAACAGTATAAACACAATTAAAAAAGCTACCTTCTTCTTGGTGGTATTACCACCAGTGGTACCATCAGCCTCAGTCTTTAGGTCAATCTTCAAATCCTCGACAATACTCTTGCTCTCCAAATCCCAGATCTTAATGCTTGACTCAGTTGCAGCACATAGCCAGTACCTGTTGGGACTAAAGCACAGAGCATGAATAATAGACCCAGCATCAAGAGAGTAAAGTCTCTTTCCCTCAGCCAAATCCCACAAAAGAATAACACCATCTTTGCCTCCACTGGCACAGAGAGAACCATCAGGTGACACAGCAACAGTGTTGACATAACCAGAATGTCCGGCAAGAGTGTTTCTCAGCTTGCAGTTCGTCAGATTCCAAACCTTCACAGTCTTATCCCATGAAGCGGAGACAATAGTTGGCTGCAAAGTGCTAGGGCTGAATCGGACGCAACTAACCCAATCGGAATGAGCATCACCATCCTGGATAGTGTATTTGCACTCACCGAGAGTGTTCCATAGCTTTATCGTGCGGTCACGAGAAGCAGACACGATCTGACGGTTGTCAATCGAGAAAGCAACCGATAGAACGTCCTTGGTGTGACCGACGAATCGGCGAGCGGAGGTTCCGGCGTTGAGATCCCACAGACGAAGTTCACCATCCCATGAACCAGATAGAGCGAACTGACCGTCGGAGGACAGAACAACATCCTGAACAAAGTGAGAATGACCGGTGAGACGGCGGCTGGGGACACCGTAAGTCTTGTCCTCCTTGGTAAGGCGCCAGAGGATGATGGATTTGTCACGGGAAGCGGTGACAATCATATCGGAATTGTCGATCGGGGTGGCAATGGCGGTAACCATGTCAGTGTGAGAACGCATGGTACCGCGGAGAACGAGACCCTCAGCCATGGTTGCGGTGGTGAAGAAACTGTGAAGCTGCTGCTAGGGTTTGGTTGTGAAAATGAGAGTGATAGAGGCTTTGTAAGCGTTTGTGAAGTCTTTATATATTGTATCAATTAGGGTTTTGGAATAACTGTTTATTGGTGAAGCCCAATTGTTTGACTGCTTCAACACAGGCCCAAGCTATTATTATAGCCCAAAAACGAAAAATAACTTTAGAAAACAATAAATTCAAAAAGATATTTAAGAGAAATTATATTTAAATCATTCATCAATTACAAATTAATTTTATATATAAAGATATTTTTCTTTATTACTTTTTTATATTTTGTTCCAATACCTTCCTCTTAGTATTTTCTTAGTATATTCACTTTTATTATTTAATCAGTGAATTAATTAATGGTTATGGTTTAAAGTTGAAAGAAATTGAAATAAATAGGGAAAGATGGGAGAGAGGACAAAAAGTATTTTATTTATGTCCTATGATTAATATTGTAGGAATTTGGATCCTCAAGATTTTTATTCATTTCAATCTCTCACGGTTTAGAATAATAATAATTTAATCAATTCAATGTCAAAATAATAAAGTGCAAAAAGTTTAATGGGACAAAATAATTTTACAAAATAAAAATATTTATATTGATGAAATATTTCTATACATTAAAACTCGTCTTTATTTAAACCAAGCACACTCTTAAAGAGAACATGAGAGATGATATATTTTTTATAATTTAATTACATTTTTCACATTGTTCTTTTTTTTATATTAAAATATCGAAATTATCATTGTTTTTGCCAACAATGTCCTTTTAGTCAAAAAAAAAAATTTAACTAGCAAAAGGGTGATTTAGTAAATAACAAAACACCAGATTAATTCACTTCCACTTACTATTCTTCGCCCACGTGTCACACTCTCATTGGTTTTGATATTACATTATTTTTCCTCTAGTATTTTTACTCATATGTTTTTTCAGTTTTCTCTCCTCGACTCTCTTTCACTACTGAGACAACCTTTCCATTTTCCCTCTCTCTTTCATCTATTTTCTCTCTTTTCATCTCTCTTTGGCCGTCAAACCCTAACGCGGCCGAAACTCACCCTGAAATGGAAGATGAAGTGAGCTCGCAAATGTAGAAACTCATAGCCACGCATATCTACGATACAAAAATTATTAATATAGTTTTGTTTGATTCTGTTACAAGATAACTCAGCAATCTTGAGCTACGGGTGTGTAATTTCTGCACATGAAAGTGGTTTCAGTTGCTGATGCTGCTCAGGTACATTCAAACTTATATGTTGTTGTTTGTTTGTTGTTTGTAACTTTTGAGCTGGTTTAAATCGAACACAAAATCCTCCTGAATTCCCCCATTAATCGAACACAAAACCCTAAAAGTTATGCTATTTACCTTTTCTTTATGTGGGTTTATATGATTTTGTGTAGTTTGCAGCAATGAGCTGAGTACTATGGAACATCGAAGAAACGCACTTTTTCTGTTTGCAAGCTAAATTGCAATGCGAAGTGATGCGTGTTGGCTTTATTTTTAATCCGATGGAAATGCGAAAGAAAGTGTTCTTACTCATAGGTAGTTTTGCTCAATCTTTCCCACACGCCCGATTCTTGTGTTGTGGGAATTTTTTGATTTGTTTCACATCTATGGTTAATTGGTGAAATTTGCAATGGTTTTGGTTTGTTTTGTGTATATATGTTGTATAAGGATTATCACGGTGACAAGTAACTCACTGTCAACAAATTTCTATGTGTTTCATATCTGATATCTCTATGTGGAAGCTTATTATACCTCTATTTTTAACATGATGCAGTTTTTAAAAAAATAGAATAATGGAAGGATCTCTCTTTGACGTCCATAGGGTTGAACCATCCCAATAATTGATGGTGGCAACATCCCCATTGGATATGAAACAGGCAAAGTATTCCAAAATCAACACATGAAACATTCTCTACTAAAAGTGATGCAGATAATTTGAAGCAAGCTTCTGAGAGTGATGCTAGGATCGAGTGTTAAGTTAGAGAACACCCGACAATCATGGCAATCCTTGATGCTCGTCCCGTAAGTTGTTTTCATATAGATTTGTTATAATTTATTTGGTTCTTGGTGTGGTCAGAAACATTATTAACTCATTCATTCTCATTTGTATTTTATTGGATTGAATATGCACTTCCAAGTCTATTGTGGCCAATTATGTCTTTTGATCAAAGAACAAAATGAAGATGTTATTGTAGCGTCTCTCAAACAAAGCTTATTAAGTTATTTTTGGTCTTACTATTGTTTTTTTTTTAAAACTCGATACTATTCCAAGGATCGATAATCCGGGGGACCAATCTTATTGTCTGGTCTTGCAATTATTATGTTTTAACTTTGGATCTTTAAATAATAAAATCTATGAATATGTCTTTAGTCCATAATGACGATATCTTTGTGAGTTTCAATCTTTTGTCATTTCCCACTAGTTATATATTACTTATTTTCATGTCTTTATTTCCTTTTGCTATACGATGAGAAAGAAGTTTAAATGTTCAGTGCTTGTGACTAGAGATCTTGAAGATAAGACTGATTTGGTGATCACTTTTCATGGTGACGCTATCTTTGCAAGTTTCAATCTTTCATCATTTCCCAGTAGTTATATATTATTTATTTGTGTCTTCATTTCCTTTTACTATACAACGAGAAAGAAGTTTAAATGTAATCCTGAATTTTTACTCAGGTACCTGAAAAGGACAATGAGGCGACTTCCGATTTGTACGCATTGAACCAAAAGTTGTAAGATTCGTGTCAAGTGTTGCTACAACTTTGTTAGGATCAGGAGGTATGTTAACCTTGCTACTCTTGCTGGTTTATTTTGATGTTATTTTATGATATGTTTGAAGGGGAAAGGAAAGGATAGTTAAATGGATTGAAGAACTATTTATTATAGTGAGCACTTTGAATTTAAGGGTTTGTTTTGTGGTTGTCTGAATGTTGTTATCTAACACAAGCTTCTCTTTAAAGTGAACAAAATTGTATGAACCCCAAAGTAAAAATTTAACAAAAACTATAAAACTATTTTATCTTTAAGTTGGGGAATTCTTGTTGGTGGGGTGTGTTCTGCATGATAAACATTGCTTTTCAAATTTCAAGTTAAATGCTTTGATTGAAAAACTGTACTGGTTTTTAGCATGCACTAAAAAGGATATCTATGGAATCCTTGCTTTAATTTGATAAATAGATTAAGTGCAAAATGACAGACAAATCAAGGATTTAATGAAAGAAATGCAATATCTTCTAACTAAGACATTTTCGTAAGGCTTTTAGGGATATGCACTAAAACATATCCTACTATGTATATCTTTATACATGCTGGTATATATAAAGTGTATCAATGTTCTTTTACTTGCACTCTATTATAACCCATTTGACGCCTACACCATTTTGAATGTTGAATAGTAATTATGTATTGACAGTTAAATGTACTTTAGATTTTTGTATGTCGGTTCAACATTGTTACTTGTAGTTTTCTTTGAGTTAAAATGCATTAAAACATCTTTTCAGATTATACATTTGATAGTTAAAGATGAATATATGGTTCAAATATATGCTAAAAATATGACTTAATGTTGATTTATATAGTTTAAGTATATGCTAAAAATAATGATACTTTACATTTTATATTTTTTTATATGGTTCAATTTATATGACGTAATTTATATTTCTTATTGATATTGATACTTCACTTATATCACTAAAAAAATTCGATTTCACTTGCAGTTTTCAATTTCACTAGCAGTTGGAAATATTCACTAGCGGTTTGAAATTTCACTAGCATTTTTCAATTATGTGAGTTATATGAATTATATTTCTTATTCATACGGATACTTCACTTATATCACTAAAAAGTTCAATTTCACTAGCAGTTTTCAATTTCACTAGTAGTTTTCAATTATATGACTTACATTTCTTTTTTATTTGTGAGTGGTAGTTTGCATGTTATTTTATTCAAGTATATGACTTAAGTTTTCATGAGCACTAGCAGCATATGTTATACTTTTTTATTTGCAGGTGATACTTTGCATGTTATTTCCACTTCACTAGCAGTATATGCTAAAAAAAACTCAATTTTAGTAGCAGCATATGCGATAGTTTTTAATTTGCCTTATATGACTCGTTTGAAAATTGTATGACACTAAACAAAAAAGTCTCATTAATCACAAATTTGAGTTCAAATCTGAACTAGAATTTCATTTTAAGTTTCAACGGTACATTATCAGTAAGGACAAACTGAAAATTTTATGTTTAAAATTTATTTGAACATTTTGTATGACTCGTTTGAAAACATTTCAATGAACAAAAAACTGAGTTCAACTCTCAATGTGACTTTGTTTGCCATTTATGGTTGTACTTTATGGTTGGTTTTTATGCATAGGATTATCATAGTTTTACTGTGTAACACCTTTCTACCCCAAAAAAAAAACATTCACGACAATTATAAACAATTATATCAGAGTATATCACCACAAGAGGGCCACATTTAGTCATAAAACTTCATAATAACGTCCTACTATGTAACATGAATTATGTCATCATAAATTCAATCAAATATTACACAGCAGAATAAATCAAATTCTCAACATTGTTTATAACGAAAAGTCTTAAAAACAAGAAATACATAGTGTCATTATGTCAACAACAAAGTAACATAACGGTTCGACTCAAACATCTCGACCCGATGTTACATATCAGAGTAATACCCTCTAATCGACGTAAATAACCAAAACACTTAAAGGTTAATGATCGTACCTGATCAGAAGGAAATCAGTGACCTGCCACGCGTCGTTGATTTGCTAGTCATTCATCGAAGGTATGGAAGAAGAGGGGGTGTACCTGAAACACATTCTGATACCAAAGTAAGTGACGAGCAGAGTGGGAGCAAGTATAGGGAGAGAGTAAGAGAGTTAAGTTACCTGACCCTCTAGTGAAAAGGGTATTTATAGCGAGCCCTCAGCGCAGGGCCAACG